CTGAGTCATGAGCATTAACACCAACAAATTATTTCTGGCTTCTGTTTGACAACGTTGAGCGAAAGCTAAAGTGAGGAGAATGACAGCACAAGAAGCGACATATGTAGAAAAGGAAAACTCTCATTTACTCATCTCTCCCCCCTCTGAAAGCAGTAATAATTTTCCCTGTGTGTGTATCCGTGTGTGTGTGTCTTTGTTTGCCTGTAGTGTAAGCAAAATATTTCATAAACCAGTGGATGGATTTTAATTAAACTTGCAGACAGTAATCACTGCCACATCCAACTGATGTTCAAAACACAAAATGACTTCAACTCAGTCAGTTTTACAGATACTGACCTTACATTCGTTGTGTTAATACACAAGACTGATACCCAGCTTATTTCCTGACTGCTAACAGATTGCACAAAACCTTTGTTTAAAGTGTTCCCATTAACTTTTTGGAACTTACAGGAAATGGTCCTTGGATGAACCTTATAATTGATCGACTTTTTGAGCCGACCCAATTCAATGTTTGCCACAATCAGTTGATGTTATGAAGGAACAGAATAGCTGCAATTCAGTCAATATTAAAAAATATTGTTCTAAAAATCCTATTTGATTGAAGATGGTAGACTTTTTTCAACAGGTTTATTATGGGACATCTATGCTTAAAAGTTCAGCATTAACTTTTGGAGTCAACTCTGTTTATCTGTTAGCAAAATATCTCATGAAGTGGAATTATATTAATGAAAATTCTAGAAAGTAATCAATGGATGTACATTTACAACCGATAAACTTTTGAAATGAATTTTTATTTAAGATGGCCACCAAAGCTAATTGACATAAGCCAACTTAAAAGTGGCTATAACTTCAATGTCAATGTCAATTTATGTATATAACACATAAAAACAACAAAAGTGCTTCACAATTCAGCCAAATGAATAAAACAACAGAGTAACACATAAATGTACACAATAAAATCAATTTAAAATAGAGAAAAACATTAAAAAACATTATCTTTAAAAGAATCTCAAACTCTACCAGAATGAAAGCCAGGGAGTAAAAATGACTTTTAGGCAGAGATTTAAAAGTCTCAACAGTCTCTGCACACTGAATTCTAAGAGGTAAACCATTCCAAAAGTTTGGGGCAGAAACTGCAAAGGCCCGATCACCTCTAAACTTTAGCCTAGACCTAGGAACATCTAAGAGAAACTGGTTGGATCGAAGTGCTCTAACTGAAGTGTGGATGTTAATGAGATACACATAACTTTGTCAGGTGTAAAGATACTGAGCTAAAATTTGATTCAGTAGTAGCTGACAATCATCCTTAACATGCACTCTGAGACATCTCAGGAGATCTTGCATGAGATGGCACATGCCATCTACAAGGTTTGACCAAAATGGCCTTCATGTCATGTCTTCTATTCAAACAATCATCCTAGTTTGAAACTTGCTGATGGCTTTAGAACTTCAGTTTGTGCATTGGATCTGAACACAGACATGCAGAAAGACAAAGAAAGGAGTATTAGAGATACTCAGGTGTAGTGACAGTCTTCTTAGACTGGTTTCGTTTGGTTTGGTTTGAGGCGCGATGTTCCAAAAATTCAGACAACAAGACAGCAGCTGCTACACCGACAGCCTCGAGCTGTCACAGACACAAGGCCAGAAACAGGCCTCACTCCGCAGCTGTAATCACATAACAACCTGTCAAAAAGATCAACATCTGTTCCAGATGTGGTCCTGTTTTTGTTTTCCTATTTGGAAAGACACCACCAAGTCAGTAAGCACATAACCTGAGTGATGGGTGGAAAAACGTCAAGCATTGGACAGAATTATTTGCACAAAGAAGATGACAAAAACAGAGTGTTGGCTCCAAAGACTCAGTGCAGGTCTGACAACATGCTGTGAAAGATCACAGTAAAAGGTCTAAAGTTTAAATTTGTCTACTGTTAAACATTTTTACCAAGAAGGAGGTTGATGAAAATGATTAATTCAACTTATAGTAAATGAAGAGGAAAATCTGCTCAATTTTGAAATGTTCTATTAAATAGTACCTTATCAGCCATGGCATCAGTCAGAGCAGAGTACAAATGTAATGTAATGTGAAGTGTGCACACCTAAACTCTCCCTGACTTCCACTGAGTCTGAACTCAGATTGATTTATTCAAAATTAATGGAAAGACAGAGGAAGGACCCCCTGTGAATATAAAACAAAGAAATTAAGGAAATTAGTGTTTGGTAGATTTTTTTCTTTGTTGGAACAAGATGAGATGAGATATTTGATTTTATTATCCCAAAGGAAATTCACAAGTTGCCAGCTACTTCAAGTCCAGCAGGTTCTGATGTTATCAGTCCATTAAATGGACGTTATTAGCATTTATCAGTCCCATAGAATGGCTTCAATCTGTCCCGACTGGGGTAATATATCAATGACATTGAATGTGTAAATAACCAAAACATATTTTAATAAAGTTTTTGTCCGGGGTGGGGGGTGGTTTTCTCACTGTTTTCTCACTGTCCGTGCTTGGTCTCGATCCTGGCTCTCCCGTCCAGTGCTCTACCCATTGTCCTACATTGGGCCAACAGCAATGGTCTACTTTATCGAAGGCCATGACCATTTTCTCTAAAATTAACCTTACTGGCTTTATGCCTCACATTAACCTTAGTGGTTTTATGCCTCATATTAACCTTAGTGGTTTTATGCCTCATATTAACCAGATTTAATAAAAACCTTAGTGGCTTTATGCTTCATACTAACCAGCCAGTTCTGACGTTATCAGTCCATTCTATGGGACGGAGAATGCTACAGGAGCCACAGTCAGGAAGTTCTGAAGCCATTCCATGGACCTGCTAACGACTAATAACGTCCATTTAATGGATGATAACATCCGAAGTGGGTGTCAATTCACGCATCACTGAGGTAGAAAAGATCAAAGAAGAGAAAACATGGTGATAAGGGTGGGGCAGCTGTGGCAGAGAGGTTAGGGGAGTCGTCCTGGAACCAGTAGGTCACCGGTTCTATCCTCCGTTGCAACTGTCTCAGTTGTTGTGTCCTTGGGCAAGACACTTTACCCCCACTGCCTCTGATGTGTGTCCCATCAGTGTATGAATGTGATTGGCACTGATTAGTCTCTATAGATTTATTTGCACATGTTAGCTTTGTAGTGAGATCTAAGAGTGATGTGTGAATGGGTAAATGAGAACACAGGTTGTAGTGTAAAGTGCTTTGAGTATCCTGGTTGGATAGAAAGACACTATACAAGCACAGTCCATTTAAGTAAGGTGCACATATATACAGTATAACCAATGTAAAGAGCTAGTGGCAAAACAGTAAAAAATGTGAGAACACTGCTCAATACCAGGAACAAAAAAGAAAGCTGTTTTTACATTGGATTTGTTCTCGATTATTTGAAAAGTTCCTAAAATACTGTACAGATATAAAATATCAATTACTTCTTGGTAATAAATTGTTTACAGTTGAAAAGTCTGTTAATTTACCTTTTAAATGGTGCCACATTTGTAAGGAACATGCATTTGTGGAATGAGCAGTAGAGCTGAGTATGTTGGTTGCACACCTAAAAAATTAGCCAAGTCTTCTCTGCCAAACAGCTTATTTTGCTGTTGCTATTGACATTTGTTTTGAGCTACTGGTAGCACCCCCCCCCCCCCCAACCCCTTACCCTGCAGTACCTCCACAGCTCCACTAAAACAGTATGTACAGCAACCAAAAGTTTCTACCACTAATAGCTCTTGTATGACATAGAGTAATTTTCAGCAGTTATCTGTTCCTTTGAGGTTAGTTTCTAGTTTGCGTTTCTGTCTGCCTGAAGGGTATGGCTGTATACTGTCTCTCTCCCCTTTGCTTTCCAGAAAAGGAAGTAATCACCATGGATACCAGTGGCTCAGCAGGTGCTTAGTCATTGGATCTTTTAATATTCAGCAGGTTCTTCTATGTTCCATTATCCCATCACTGGCGCCTCCTTAAAGCCTGAAAACAAAGTCTTAAATAGTAGTTTCAAAATAACATTTGTGAATACTGTTCTAAAAAAAGAAACGTAATTTATTTATTTAAAAGCATTTTTGAAACAGCCTCAAATGGAGGAGTTTAAGTATCTGGGTGTCTTGTTCACGGGTGATGGTAGGATTGAGCGGGAGATGGATCGAAGGATTGGGGCCTCAACCTCAGTGATGAGGGCGTTGCTTTGGTCAGTCGTAATGAAGAGTCGAAAAACAAAGCTCTCTATTTACTGGTATTTCTACATTACAACACCTCACTGGTGGTCATGAGGCATGGATCATGACCAAAACAACAAGATCCCGGATACAAATGGCCGAAATGAGCTTCTTCCGTAGGGTGGCCGGATTCAGCCTTAGAGATAGGAGGAGGAGCTCCATCATCCGGGGAAAGCTTGGAGTAAAGCCGCTGCTCCTCCACATCGAAAGGAGTCAGTTGAGGTGGTTCATCCTAGACGCCTCCTTTTGGAGGTGTTCTGAGCATGTTCCACTGATTGGAGTTCCAGGACTCACTGGAGGGATGCATCCTCTCTGGCCTAGGAACGCCTTGGGGTCCCCCAGGTCCCTGACAATAAATATCATGGAGCAAGTCTAATCTGGACAGCTTAAACCCAGATATTCTTCAGGGGAGAGCAGTGTCGGGGTTTCTCTTCTGGACCTTTTGCTTCTGGAACCTGACTACAGATAGCAGAACATGGAGATGGAAATTTTTGAAACTTTGTGCCTAAAATTCAGGAGTGCTGACAACACTGCCCAGTATTTGTTGAATCTGAAGACATAAATTTGAGTTTGGTCAAGTATTTGTAGCGAATGTATGTCTCTGTTTGAACTGTTTGAAAATAAATGTTTCTCTTTAATAAAAGATGTCCAGCTCACAGGATCTTCCTGTTGATCCAGTATTTATGAAACCGTCCCACTCTGTGTGAATATCCTCTTGTGTGGTTGGAGAATAAACCAAGAGTTTGATTTTTCTTCTAAAACAGTTTTCCTTTTCTTTCCTGCCTCAGACGTATCCCATGGTTCTGGAGTACCGGCCACGTATCGACTTTGGCTGAACCACGAACGCAGAAAGGAGGACAACAATCACACACACATGTGCTCACTCATATAATATATGCACACATAAACACACACCAACTTAATCATGCCTAAAATGTGCAGATAAAGAGAAAGATTTAGAAGTATTTTTGTACAGCCGATGATGAAGTGCTTTTGTTGTTGCAGTAAAAAGCTTTTATGCTACATAGAATAATATATGCTATAATATATGATATTTTTAAATGTATGTCCCTGTGCCTAAAGACCTGTTTGGATCAGAAATGAAGTACGATCAGATCTCCAGTTTGCCTGTCTAACTAACTGTAGATTAAATGTTGATTTTCTACTGTGGATTCTTCTTTTGATTTCATCTTTGACTTTGTTTTGGCACTTTTATTTTCCCTGATCAATATATTATCATATATATAATCTATCAGGATTTGCTTCTCATGTAGAAGTCTAAAAGTTTTCCTGTTTGCCCTGAGAGAAGAGGTCTGCAAGATAATTTTAAGAAGCAAAAATCTGGAATGAAAAGGGTGCAGAGTGAAGAAAAAAATCTTATAACTGTCCCTTATTTTCCAAAAACAACTCCCAACAAACTCAACAAGAACAATGATTTTTACGCATTTTTACTTTTAAAGATCACAATAGCAATATTCATATCCAAGGTCATGGAAAAACAACAAGCCAAGGTCTCCAACAGTTGCCAAAGAGTTGTGACATTGCATGGGAACCCAGAATGACTGTGAAGCAGCACATGGAAACACAACAGCCAAAGACAAAAGTAGTGATAGTGAAGAATAAAATGACCGGATTCTCACTAAAGCTGCCCCCAACTCATAATCTTCTGTTTTTGTTGTCAGAAAGTTGTTTGATTTGACAAAAGTCCTCATTTTACCTAAACATAAAATCATCGAACCCTCCATTAGAGCAAACTAAAAACAGCTGCTCTGCTGATTCAGCTGTTCTTACGTGTGACGGCCAGAAAGAAGTTAAAAATGAACCATGACAATTATAAATTCATTGACCGGCTGCCGGTCTGGATGTGTTCCACTTCAGCTGCCCATGGGAAGGTGATAAAAGGAAAGGCCTTTCATCACACACTGCTCACAGCGTTGTGCAACCACAAAAAAAGTCCCCATTAGGAGGGGCGTCAAATCACATTTCTGCTTTGTCCTGGGAGAAATGTCCAGACATCCATACAGGGCATATCACAAAGCCAGAAAAAGCATTTGAGGACCTGTGGACTCAGTGCTGCCCCCTAGTGGCACCACAAACCTCAGCAGTAAGCTCTGTTTCCTCTGCTCAGCTTTGAGGGGTTTGATTTTTCCATCCCTGTGCTCCTGTGTTTGATGGTCCTCTGCCCCCCACACCCCTCTCCTCAGGCTGAAGTAGCAACTTGACCTGGTTCACTGTGTCCTCTGTGCTTTTGGCAGTTGGTGATGGGGAGACTTCATTACTGTGTTTCGGCAATAAGCAGCTACAGATTGATTCAGCGGGTTCCAGTTAGAACTGCATTTCTGCCAACAAAACAATTCAATTTTGTGATAATCTAACACGCCGAGAGGCCATTGTGCTGCAGTCAACCCTGGTGATACGTCAGGTAATTCCAGTAAAAAGAAATGTTTTCCTGGCATTGATGAAACATGACTAAAATCAGAAATGGTTATTTAGATATATTAGAACATCGTGAAAAACCATAAATGAGTCAGTGAATGAGAAAATCTGATTTGTAGGGATTCCAGTTTGGCAACAAATGTGTAACAAAAAAAATCCATTAAAGAAAGACTGAAAGGGATTGGTTGATTTCTCCCCTTACAGAGCATCCATCCATCCATCCACTTTCTGTACACGCTTCTTCCTTTTCAGGGTCGCGTAGGTCACTGGTGCCCATATCCAGCAGTCACAGTGTGAGGGGCGGGGTACACCCTGGACAGGTCCTTACAGAGCAAAACATCACAAATCCATTCAAGGAATCTGAAGGAATTTCTGGGAGCCAGTTTAATCTGGACAGCTGTGATCTCTGATCCCTCAGATGGTATAAAGCGCTGTTCGTTAACAGCTGGTGGATCACATGGGTCACTTTGGGAAACCTTTGTCAAGCTCTACAGTCAGTTAATTTCACATACGCTACTGCTGCCCTTAACCTGGTTCAGAGATGGTGCCATCCCCTCTGGTCTCCATCACGCAGTCGTAACATGCACCGGGCTCAGACGGATCAGTTTTTCAGGTCTTTTTTGGAAAGAAATGCACACGTTGGCAGATATTAACGTGTCAGTAAAAACATCTGTCATCATGCAGTTTGACATTGCATCATGGTTTGCTTAGATGTGTGTGTTTCCTCTGAAGGTTTGTGATTTGTGTGGGTGCTGAGAGTGATAATGAAACAAGAAAGCGGCACCCCCCCCCCCCCCCCCAGCTTAGAAAAAAAAGTGAGAGTTCAATCTGCTCGGTGGAGTTTCAGTTCCTCCTGTTGGGTTTGTAACAGACTGTCAGTGAAACCAGAAGATGGTTCAGGAGAGGAAATGTAACAGGAGTTTAGTTCCGATGACACAGATCTAACTGATGATTTAAAACCACAGACGCCTTTTTTTTATAATTCTTATTATCATTTCCAGTAGTTCTCCATTTGAATGTTTTCACATGACAGGAACAGTGAGTAGGCTGGGTTTTTTCTGTATAACCACAAAGTTTTATTTGTAACATTTTAAACACAAAATGTTTAGCAAAGAAAAAACAAATCAAATAAAGTGGAAACAAACAAAAAAAGAATGTGTATCTAACCTCTGCTGACACCCATCATGGATCCTTCATCTCTCTCAACACACCACTCTGGGCAACGAGGGAGTTGGGACACAACCAGAGCAAGACTACTGACCAAATGGCACCAGCCTCTGTGTGCTGAGACTCTGTGCCAGTTGGCAACCTGAGCTTGTACCTTCAGAGAGATACCTCCTGCCTGGTTCTAGATAACAAACAGCAATCCCACAACTCTAAATGACAAGTCAATACCACTAACCTATATATGATACTGAAACTAGTACAATTCAGACCTTGTGTTAGGTCTGTTCAAGACCTCTTGTAGTTTGTATACTAGCCTCATCTGGGAGGATGAGTACAGAGATCTGATCAGTTGTTTGCTGAGATGGTCTGAACATGACCAAAGCAAAAGAGATGGAAGACTTCACCCAGGGACTAACAGAAACACCTTGGTGTACAGCTAGACAATATGGATTGGTCCACCAACGCTGAGGTAGTCTGTGCCAGCTTTTAACTCGAGTTGAAGTCTGCAATGGGATGCTCCAGATGTTTTATCGATATGCTGTTGTTGTCACCATTTTGTACTGTGGAGCTAGCATCAAAGCAAAATGCACCATTAATTTGAACTGATAAAAAATGTATAAGCTCTTATTGACTGGAAGCTATGACACCAAAAGGTGGTGAAGGACAGAACACTAGAAAAATCTGTGGCAATCATGAAAAAACCCTCCCAATCGTTTAAAGAAATCTTAGAAGGAGCAACAAACTCATTCGTCCTCATACACAAAGAAACAGTACAGAGATGTCTCCTGCCTCCATCACACTCTACTTATTCAGCTTCTCTGGTGTGAGGTCACTGAACACATCTGAACTGGTTAACTTTATCTTAAACAAGTATCTGCACATATCTGTCAACCAGAGTTGGCATTTTGCAAAACAATTATTTGTCCATGAAATTCTGAAAAGCCAAAATGAAAAACAAAATAAAATGACACAAAATAAGAACACAATATTACATTTGAGAAAGTATGAATAAAGTGAAAACAAAAAAAAATAAACATGAAAAAATGTAGAAGTTTAAAAAAATTAAACTGAAAGCAAAATAAAACCATGTTAGAGAACAAATGATAAGGTAATAAA